AAAAAAAAATTAGTTGACATTAAGAATAGTGGCTTATTTCTAGACATGTATAGATCATTTTTGATCTAAATGTTTATGCTGTGCCAGTACTGTGTAATATTAATTCCTATCATGTAGAAGAAAGTTTTGACATGGGAAAAGTCCTCCAACTGTTTTCTTCTTTCTTTCAAAATTGTATGACTTTTTTGTTGTTGTTGTTTTGTCTTTTATACAGAAGTTAGAACCCAGGACTTTGGGCCTGCCAGGCAGGCTGAGCTGTCTCCCCAGCCTTGCAATGATTATTATTTCCTTGTATATCCTCATGTGAATTTATAAAGCCGCTGACATTTTTATAAGGGTTACACTAACCATGTGGATCAATTGGAAGAATATTTCCACCATCACAGTATTAAATCTTCTAAGCTATAGACATTGCAGGCCTTTCATTTGTTTATGTTATCTTGATTTTTTTTTCATGGTGTTAGCTCTCTTTGTACATGCTGTGTGCTACTTTTGTTAAAGTACTCCTTATTTTTTCTTTGTGTCATTGGAATATGTTTGTAATTAGAACTTGTTGTAATTGAAGTTTTCAGTTTTCCTTTGCAGAATGAACATTGTGACTGTGTAGAAGAACATTGAACTTTACATTGATCTTACACCAGTTTTGCTACACTTGCTTACTAGCTCCTGTAATTCTTGATATGGAGAATGAACACATAATGTACTTAAAGGGAATTTTTCTTTATTTTCTAGGAATTGTAGCTGTAGGATACATCAATGAAGCTATAGATGAAGGGAATCCTCTGAGGACTTTAGACACCTTGTTGTTACCTAATGCTAAGATCAGAGATGTGCACCCAGCCCATGCCCAGCACTACCAAGATGTTTTGCATTATGCGAAATCACAAAAACTCATGGTAGGTTTTACTATGTTTGCTTATTTTATGTTTATAGGCCTGATGGGGAGAAGATTTTTTGATCCTTTTTTAAAAGATCTGCTGAGTTGGGCTTGGGAGATAGCTCAGCAGCATAAGCACCTGCCTTGCAAGCACAAGGTCCTGAGTTGCTACCACAAGGTACCACAAGGTCCTGGTACCACATACTGTGTGGGCTCTGGAACCCTGGGCACACTGAGCTGGTGCTGAAACCAGGCGTGGTGGCACATGCCTGTAATCCCAGTGCTGGGGAGGCTGAGACAGGAGGATCACTACAAGTCTGAGCTTCATAGCAAAACACTGTATCAAGTTAAAAAAAAAAAAATCCCCTGAGTTTCTCATCCCAGTTATTCAAAATGGAGATAATAGAAACATTATTTTCTTGGTGCCAGACATTAGAAAGCCCAGCCTCAGAGTTCACTATTGCACCCTTCCTTTCATTTAAAGCTGAGTTGTAATTGGGTTCTTCAGAGTCCAATTCTAAGAGATTTTTGTGTGTACCATCCATATATGGAATTTGGGAAGAAAGGGACAGAGGGGACACATGAAACCATTTGAATGTTGTCTGTTATCATTGTCAGTGAGAGTAGGAATTGCCTGAGGTACCAGGTAGGAGAGATAAGTATTTGGCAAAGTATTGAAGACTCGGACTTAGAGAGAATGAGAATTGCCACACGCTAGGCTTCTAAGGACAGCTGGCTCAGGGGTAGAAGAGGAGCTGTGCATGATGGGAAAGGAATAACTGGGGGAGAGGACGGTGTGATGCAGGCAGCAGTGCCATGCACAGAGGGGACAGCAGCTGGCCTGGCTGGAGTCCCCTTCAGTAGTGACATTTATCCAGATGCAGCAGTTGTCCTGGTGACAGGAGGAGTCCGGCAGAGAAGAACCTCTCCTAGAAGGAGACTGGGTTGAATGTTGACTTTCAGGACCTGTCACCTGAGAGAGATCGATAGGGATGACACATAGGTGAGGCCTCGCTACTGGTAGCTGTTGTGTCCCCAGTTCTGAGCCTAACTGAAAAGGGCATTTCTTATGTCTTTAGAACCCAGGAACGACCTCATCCAGTACAGGAAAAGCATCATTGGTTTCTGCAAGCATTTATTGAGCATCTTTCTCTGTCCCAGGCGTGATATTTTATGCAACTACCTCATTTAATCATTATAGCAATTCATAATAGCCCCCGCAAATCATGTCACCATCATAATTGCCATCTTGCCGATAATGAAATTAGATTAGGATTAAATAACCAAAATCACCCAAAGGTGATTAGTTCTCAGACTACAACCCAGGTCTGCCTTATTCAGAAACATAGATTATTGGGCATTAAGACAGATGGTAAGGGCTGTTTATTGCAACTTTGCTTGTAGTAGCAGAAATTAAAAATGACCTAAATGTCGTAAAGGAAAAATCACATGCTCCTATGCACATAAAACTCAGAAGTGCTTGCACAGCATGGGGGAAACATGCACACTTATATGTGCATAAAGTAGTTCTGGCAGGAGAAGCTTCTAGAAATTGATCTAGAAATCTGGGGCAGATGGGAGCTTTCATTTTTGTTCTGTATTTTTCTGTCATTTGGATTTGTAATTTTTTTAGACAGTCATTTAGTAAATTTATGTTTCTAAACTTTTAAAGACCAATATAAACCCTGTTTGCGCCACACTTTGAAAGGGGTGGGAATAGTGGCCACAGTGGGGCCTGCTGCCAGCTCTGGTGGTGGCACTGCCCTGCCTCTGGGGGTCCCCAAAGGCGCATGCTTCAGCAGTGCAGCCTAGAAGCTCTCTCCCCTGATGGAGAAGGGCCTGCGGATCAGGATGAATGAATGCCAGGCTGAGAGACAGCCAGAGACGGGGACAGGGAAGTCTCACACCCACCCTCATGTTGCCTCACCCACAGGGAGGGGAATGGGCTCCTCCTTGCAGTGCCTGCTGAGGTGGCTGTGTCCATGCTACACGGCAAAAGTGCCAGCACTGACAGATTATTTACTTGGGAGACAAGCACCATTTGGGTACTGGCTGTGTCGTCGTGGTCTAGTCACATCTCTATGTAATTATTTTTGTGTATGAAAAATAAGAGTAATGGCCAGGTGGCGACCTGGCGCGGCGGTGTCCGCGCTGGGCTGTGGAGCGCGAGGTTGCCGGTTCGCGCCCCTGTCCCGACTCTCTCTCTGGGCTGGTGAGATGGCTCAGTGGTCTAAAGCACCTACTTAGAACAAGCTTAGCAAAGCCCAGGGACCACGGTTCAATCCCCCAGCACCACATGCCAGCCA